AGGATGCTTAGACAGGGCATCCTCTGCTGTGTATGCTTTTTGTATTGGGCCCATTTCATTAGTGTCCGTTCAAGGCCTCTGACTTCTCACAGTACAGTATCCCTTTTGGAATAGATGTGGGACACCAGCAGTAAGATGTCCCGCCGGGTTTGAATTGTGAGGTGCCCTGTCCTTTCTGTGGGGGTACAGGACACGGCTTTATCTCCTCTCTCATTTCTTCTCAGACTCTTTGAATTTTATGGTCTTAGGCAGTTTGCTTGGGCTCAAGTGGTGAGAGATGTAAAACCTGTTTCCTCTATGCTCAAAGTCAACTGCAGCTGTGCCAGCAGCTCAAGGGCTTCTGCTGGCCCACATGAAAGAAACGAGCAAGTGCTATGTTTTCTCACTTGTTCAATAGTCAGAAACTGAATATTCTCAGCCTGGAACTAGAACATAAACTTCACACTTGTGCAAAAGATAGCAGATGTGTGGGCTATGTGTCCATTTTTCCCTATGTCTACCTGCCTGAAATTCAGACTTCAGAAGTGAATTGTGCTCTTGGGCAAATGGTTCTTTCAAACCCGTGCAATCAGAGAAGTGGCTTTATAGCAGTTCTCCCCGAGCTGACAGAAGCAGTTGCCCTCTGACACTATGACACTGACGAATGATGTCTGAGCGACTATATTGCCACATTCAGGAATGAGTGACCCATTATTAGACATGGGGAGCAGGATTCAAGGCTTAGTATATATATAGTATATATATAGTGGTATGAGGACAATGCTTTCCAGCAGGGTTCACCCAAACACACCAGTCCTTCAAAAAGAACGTCTGTCTGCAGAGGCAAGACCCCGAATGTTACAGGAGTGTCGAGGAAGGTTACTCTTATCTGTGTATAACCTGGCTGATATGGGACAGCTCCTTGGGTCACCTGCAGGCCAAGAGGCTCCTATGGAGCCCAGATCTGAGCTGGAGGTTGTACTTGGCAGCACTGTTTGCAGAGTTTGAGGAAAGGTCACACAGTGTGAATGGTTCTCCCACACCACTGCTGGGTGACAGCCACCGTGCATGGAGAGTTGCTGGGACTACGCTTCTCTCTCTGCAATCACCCCTCTTTCTGACTCCCCACTACTGCCCATCTTCCCGCGGAAACAGCCTCAGAAACCTCTCCATTTCCCAGCTCAGCTGGCCGTAACACAGTTTGATTCCATTCTCTCATTCCTTTTCTGTGCCATATCCAAGCTCAAAATGAACCATTGCCTACCCAGTCTGAGCTCTCCATACATACATTTTCTCCAGACAGATCCTGGTCCAAGTTTTCAGAGCCAAAGACAACATCCCCTCCTGTCAACCTAAAAGCCTGTGGTTCTGTCTGGGCTGTACAACTGCTCACCAGCATCCAGTGCGCAGCCTCAAGCTTGGAGCTAAGAGCACCACACCCAATACATACAAGGAAAGAGCAACTCCACGCAGGACAAAATAGACACAGAAACCATGCTAATCATTAGCTCTTTGAATATTTCTCTCTTTTTGTAGAAAATCTCTTTTAAGATGCCTTATCCAAGTCATTTGATGGAAATGAATTCTGTGCTCGAAGCTCACTTTTTGTTCTAAGGGAAAATGTAGTATAAGGCAGGTCACTAAACACGGCTTAGCACTGACGTTTCAGAAAGGCCTCATCATGAGGAGATCTGTGTCTCCTGTCCACTCCTCTTTAGTCCATTCTCCACTCACCTGCCCATGGTTTCCTAAAATCCAGGGCTGATCATGACTCTGTCCTGATTATAAGTCCTCAGTGGCTCCAAACCCCTAACATGATAGAGTCTAGTTCCTCCATACTTTCTACAAGTTTCTTTATGATCCAGACCTGCTGACATGTGAAACTACCCATCCCATCCCTGCCCACCCCCACCCTTACACCTCATGCTCTGGCTGTACTGAATTGCTCAGTGCACGAATCATGGAGCTTCATGCTTCCGTGCCTTTGCACATGCTCTTTCCTCATCCCAGAATGTCCTGCCAACCCTTTTGTCCTCTTGGAAAATTTGTCTTTGTTTTGAAAACCTAACTCAACCATCATGCCTTTCAGGAAGGTTTCTCTGGCCCAGAAGATAGTAAATGATTCCTTCCTAATGCCACCTCTTACCCTTGCCTGTTTGTAACTTGTCTACATGCCTCCTCTACTTATGAGCTTCCTACAGGCAGGGACTAAGTCCTGCCCTCAGGCCTGGCCCATGATCCATGCTCATATGTGTTTTTTGAATGTACAAGGAATGAACAAATGGGTAAATATGAGGTGGACCCATGGCATAAAGTCCAAGGACAATGCTCAAGTTTCAGCAAGCTCCGGCACATTTATCTGAATGAGGCCTCACTGTTGTAAAGGGAATAAAGAGAATTTGTTGGATGCGGAGTCAACGTATTTCTGAGCGACAACTACTCAAACACAAAAAGCTGCATCAATGGTTGTGTCCACTCCACCCTTTTCTTAACATTGCTTGCCACTGATTATTCTAGTCACAATGATTGTTTTCTTTTAATGTCAGCATAATGACTGGCATTTGGTGGGTGCTTAATGAATATCGTGATGGGATGAATGAATGAATGTGGAATCTACTTTTTTAAGGAAGGCATCAAAGGATTGGCTTTTAAAGGCATTTCCCATATCACGGGCTTTTCTGAGGCATCAGTGCCCCTGATCATTGGGTTGTCCATCACAAGACCTAATTGGAATGTAGAATGGGGGAGGGGTGCATGGGGTGAG